GCTCCGCGCGCTCTCGCGGCGGCAGGGGGGGAGTCCGGGGCAGCGGCAGGGGGCCGGGGGTGGCATCCAAGGCAGGGATGTCCCCACATGCCTGGTTGACGATGATCTCGGACTCGGAGGGCCACGCACGCTTGGCCACGAGGGGTGGCTCACGGCGTGGGGCTGGTGCATAGCGCGGCTGTGAGGCCTGCAGCTCCGAAAACTTCTCCGGGTGGATGATTTTCATCGCCTCCATTTTAATGATGACCTGTTGCCCTTTCAGACACGACATGAGTATCGTTTTCACATTACTGTCCACTGCTCTGGGGTCTCCGAGGGACGCCTGCATGAGGCTAAAACATGCCGGCAGCCTGCTGAGCTTTCAATCTCGGTCTGGCTGCGGAGCAGGAGCATGGGGAGCAGCCGCTGGTGCAGGAGAGCATCCTGGGGAGATGGGGCAGCACCAGCGGACCCCGCACCCCTCTTCTCCGGCCAGCCCCGAGGGTGCTGGGTGCAAGGCCGGGGCGGGCAGGGGAAGGCAGGGCTCACAACAGCATCCTGCCTGCCTTGGAGGATGCTCTTGGGAGGGCAATCAAAGCATCGGCTCTCCACAGCGCCTTGCTGGGATGTTAACGTGACATTGGCCGTCACTCGGCAGCCCCCCCTTCGCCTTCGCTGGCACTTCCCACGCCAGATCAGCTGCAGTCAGGAATGGTAAACTGGGGACCGTGGTGCTGGGCGCTGCCCGGGGCAGGTGAGTCCGGGGGGGGGGGTCTTGCAGGAAGCGGGAGCAGCCCCGCCTCGCCCTGGCCCCCACCTCCGCCCGGCCTTTATTCCTGTTTACGTGCCGCACCGTGGGATCCTCGTGGCGCTGAAGAATGTGTTTGCAAATTCCTTTGCTCTGACTTCCCGGCTCTCCCACTTGCCGTCACCGGCAGCTCCCGTGGGGCAGGGGCTCAGGGAGCATCCTGCGCTGGAGGGCAGCTCACCTTGGCTGGTGCTGGGGCTGCCACGCGCCTTGTCCCCTCCGTTCCCAGCACCTCTGTCCCCAGCTCAGCTTCGTGCTTGCTGGAAATGAAAAGCGAGAGGAGGTTGGATCCAAGGCTCTTCAGGGATCTACCGGCTGCCAGCACTCCCTCGGGATGCATGCCCGCCTGCATCCCGGCAATTTGGCAATTGAGCCCTGCAGGTCCTGTTCATCCGCCCGCATGTTTGGGCCGGCGGAAGTGGGAGCAGGCAGATATTTCCCCCCAGGCATCTGCTCGGCGGCCCCGAGCGTGGGGTCCCGGGTCCCCCCTCTGCCCTGGGGGCTGGGAGGGCAGGTCCCCCTGTGCCCTGCTGGGATGCAGGGCCCCTCCTGGGGGGGCTCCCCCACCGACTTGCCTCTGCTCAGGGTTTTCTCTCACGTTTAGCCCCTCCTCTGCTTGGTGGATCTATTTTTACCTCCATCGCTTGCTCCTGATCTGTCCCTGCTATTATCCCTCCCTCCAGCTTCCTCTCCCCCTTCCCAGCTCCCTGCCCTTGTCCCAGGGCTGCTGGAGAGGACAGGCCACGTTTGGGGGCAGGAGATGGGGGGCAGGCAGCCAGTCCGTGGCCATTTTCTCCCTTAGCAGCCGGCGCCAGCCTGTCTTTCCTCCGAGAAGGGCGAAGGCGCTCTCCTCCATCATGCTGCAAATCCTGTTAGAGGGATGCCTGCTCCTGCGAGCCCTGCCAGGCCTGACAGAGGGGGCCCGAGGGGGCCATCTGGTTGCAGCAGCAGCCCTTGGGAATGGCGAGAGGCTGTGGGGGGTTCAGCCCTGGATGCCTGAGAGCCGTGGGGGGCCGGATCCCTGCCCGACCCCAGTGGGGGTGTCCCCGGGGGCCATGCCCTGGTGGCACTGGGGTCCTGCAAGCATCCTGTGATGCCTGCCCTGGGGAGGGAGGCCTCGCGTCCCGCATCCCCCATCATGGGCCCACATCCTGCACCCCACATCCTGCACACCGCACCCCACAAGCAGCGTGTATCCCCCCCCGCGCACAGCAGCAGTCCCGGGGGCTCTCTGCCCGCAGGTCTCATGCAGACACTCACCCGCAGCGCGCCAACGGGCACGGCGGGGGCTGTGGCCAGGTAGCCGCCGCGCACAGCCACCGCGTTTCCATGCTGACGCCGTCACACCCCTTCATGCACCGCCCTGGCGCAGCACCCCACCGCACCCCGCATCCCCATCACCCCCGGGGCGACACAGCCCTCCCCAGCATCCCCCCCCACGACCCACAGCATCCACCC